ATGATGAGGAATCTATACCTGTCCTGAAAAGGAAATAAGACAGATTTTTAAGAGTCTCCTGCCTATGGGCCATTTAGGAAAATGTACGGGGGACATAAAATGAGGAAGGTCCCATTAGAAAGTAGCATGCATAAACAAAGAAGCTGCCAGCATTTACAGACCCTTAGACAAAGACACTTCACTGGTTCTCCTTTGGGGACCCCCTCCCCACGTGGGAGTCTGTTTACACTTGCCATACTTTTCCACGCTTTTGCATAAAATCTTTCAATCCACGAATTTTTATTCTTCAGACTTTGTAGGACAAGAACTTGGAAACCTCAGCTTGCCATTTGGGGAATTACAATTATACCACCAACAAAAGCGACTTCCTTCGAGAATTGAAGTGCTGACTATTCACCCCTGTTTTTATAGGTGGGGAAGCAGGAAGGCTACTATCGTCATTTGTTTTATTCACATCTATCATCCTGGGCCAAATCACAACCTATACACAACAGGGGACAAAACCCAGCTGCTGAAGCTGGCACTGTTACAGCTCATTGTTGGGAAGCAGAACTGACGTAAGCCAAAAAGTCCTGAAATCCCGGTCCCTTAGGGAGCCAGGGTGGTCACAGGACGGACTGGCTATGCATCCTTCTCCCTGGGAGGGGAGATCCTAGGTGAGACACAGTAAGGAGCCTCAGACACACCTGCTCCTGCCAGCCCGCACGGTAAGCATTGGCGGTCAGTGGTCAGTCACTTCCGCCCCAAGCCACACACACTGCCAGGCAATCTGGGGGCAGAGGAGGAGAGCAGTGGCCTCAAAGAAGCCTCCGATATTTGATGCAACTGTTCAAAGAATTTCCCCCCACTTCTGTTAGTCTCTATTTTCGACCAATACTTACGTCTTTGTAGAAATAGGTACTATTTATGTTGGCTTGGTGCTTCTGAATCTTTTAAACCGATGGAGCCTCTCAGACAGATGTTAACATGCACCACCCTTAGAACATCAACATAAGTGAGACATTGTATATTTATCTCTATATTCATATAATGTGCAACTACAAATGCTCCTAAATATAAAATCTATTATTTTACTTATAGACCCTTATGGTGTCTAGAAAAATGAAATTATAAAATATTAGCTCAATCTATACTAGTGTCTGAGAAAGGTGTGTGTGTGTGTGTGTGTGTGTGTGTGAGAGAGAGAGAGAGAGAGAGAGAGAGAGAGAGAGAGAGAGAGAGAGACTACAGAAATGTCATCAGTGAGGCAAATTTGAGGCTTTAGGTGCTGAGCTTGGGAAAGTTTTAGTTATTAAAAGTAAGAGGAAAAGCTGAAATGACTGGATCTTATTTAATACTGCGTTTTCCTGCAAGACCTAAAGAACACCCAGAAAGAGGAAAGCTGGAGCGGGCTGGCTATTGTGAGGAAAGAATGCAGGAGTGGCTGGGAAATCACAAACCTGCCCTTCTCCAAAGGCCTTGGAAGGCCTGCGAAGGAGTCCAAGATCAGGCCAAGGCGATAACATTTCAAAAGACCAAAGTTTACCTTGAAACAATGACTCTCAAAGACCCAGTACTGAGAGGGACAGGAAAGCGTTGGCAATGGCCTTCCGGGCCATTAAACCGAATACACTGTGTGATTTCCCAAGCAATGTAATGGCTAAGTCACACACTGGTTCCACAACAATGGAGACATTTTTTTCTGAAGTCCTTGATGAAGCAAAGGAAAAACAAGAGCATGTCTCTTTAATTAATATAAACATAAGCATCATCCAAACAGGAACACCTTGAGAGTAAAAGGGGACAGGATTAACGATGACTGAGGGCCAGAAGTTGGGCCACCCCACCAAGCGCCATGAAAACCAAATAATGAGCATCTCACTTGAGAAGGCCATACAGGCGGCACAGTCCGGGAGGGTCTCTGGCAGTTCGGGGGCCAAAAAGAACAATCTGGGGAAAATTCAAGTGTAAAGAGGAAGCCGGGAGGTGGATGGATTGGAGAATAAGGGAGAGTTTTAGAGCCAAAAATTCATAACATGGCACACCGGGTCCTACCTGGGTGGGTTCGACTGTCTCTCCAGTTCACGTTATGTCACTCCTACCTTTGAAATCTACCTTCTGACCGTGGGGGACGTCGGCTTGTTGCCTGGAGCCCGTCGGGGTCCTCTCTCTGATGTTCTTCATGCAAATGGTTTCCTCTGCCCAGAACACTTCAGCCTCCCAGGTTTTGTCTGCTCAGTTCTCCCTGCACCCCCCACCACCCCCCACACACACTTTTCTCCAGAAAACCCTGAGCTTGCTTCTTTATCAGCTCCTATGTCACCAACACTTCTCCTCTCAAGGTCCTTCCCATTTATATTACTTGTTTAATACCTGGCTCTGCCCGATTCAGTGCTCTTCCCGGACTGTATACCAGTTCGCTCTCCAACAAACACAGGGGTGGGCAAAAGTAGGTTTACAGCTGTTCATGTGGAAAAAAACGCAGTCATTCATAATGATACAGGAATAAATTCTGTTTTGCATATTCATAGCTGTCAGCCTACATTGCCCACCCCTGAATTTACTGGATTGATCGCATTGCACAGGAAAATGTCACAGTTAAGTTTTCAAGAAAAAATGTCAGGTCATGACGGACTAGTTAAAAGCCAGAGGAGAAAAATAAAAATAAATGACAAGAACGAGGCTCCTCGCTGAGTAGCATTTTTCCGAAGGGGACTTTCGTTTCAAGCAGAGCTGCTGCGAGGAACCGGAGCCAACACCGGCCAGAAGGGGCCGGAGACCCTGCGGAGATCCGACTCGAGGTGACACTGGCGTCTGGTGGGTAAAACTGGGAACACAGCAGCTCCCAGGAAAAGCAGAAGCGATCATGGTGCTAGCAATGATGAAAAACCCCAAGTTTCTTTTGTTTTTCACTTTTCTCCCATGAGGGCTATGAGCCCACAGTCCAATTTCTACCTCAATGACACGTCAGCACTCGGGACTCTGGGTCTAGAACACTCACTCATTCACATCCGCGTTCCACCATAGCCAGAGAGGGAGCTTGCAGGACACCGAGCCCCGCTAGGAGCGGATTTTACTGCCGTGACTCCTGTCCCCCTGAGGAGCCTTTCCCAGCCTCCCACCCAGTGTTTTCCTGGTGGAAAGGAAGACCCCCGGGCACTCCGGAGACAGGGTGCACTTTAAACCACTGGCTCCTCGGAGGGTAACTGCTATCTGTGACCGGAGAGAGATGCTGGGACCGAAGGAGGGATGAGTTAGAGTGAGGAAAGGGCGTAAGGTTGGGGTGCAAATATATGAACCACTTATAAACAAATCGCATGACGCTGTGTAATACTGTTTGCTTTTCTGCTGCCGTGCGCACACGCCCCAAATGTCAGGAGATCCTGGAATGTGCAGGGTGTGTACCTGCAGTTCTGGGGGTAGGAAGTGGGGATGGGGGAGGCGTCTCTAGCTGCTCTCGCTTCACTGATCAGTTTGTCATCATTTTTAATCCCTAAGCTTTCAGGACATGCCGGCACACTCACCTTATTCCTGTCCTTAGCCTATCCCTACGTATCCCTTAACGCTGTCTGCATGCAGGATGCTGCTAGCTCAGGAGAGGAAATCTCTGAAACCCTAATCACTGCCTCCATAGAAAGAGATCTCAGAGAGGAAAGGGGGTGCCCAGAGGAGCGGGGAGGGGAGGGGGGGCTTCTATATGCCTGGGAGCAGCTGCGCTCTCTCCCTGAGGTGTTCTAGGAGCGAGACTGACGGGGAAGGAGTCTGACTCCGATGATCCGACACACAAAAACGTAAACGTACAAACAAACCCGTGTTCCCAAGCAGAGCAAATGCTTCTTGGACCTTGGCCCGTGCTTTTGTGCAGCGGTGAGAACCACACTGCCACGCATCACGTAACATAGCTGTTCTCAGACCACCTTTGTGGAAAGGGGGTCACTCCGGGCACTTGACGAAAAGCTCTGTTTCCCCAAACACCTGGGCCCCGGGCACATGTATGTAACAGATGGCGGCCACGCTCATTTCAATTAAGTGGAAGTGCACCAGCTGGCACCAACACGGGCCTGCCCGAGAGAAGCAATAATGCATACATTTATTTAATAAGCCTATTGCCTCATGCACCGTCACTCGCTTTCATCTTCTCTTTCATGTTGGCCAGCACGTGGTGCAGGAACTCTATCTTGCTGCCAACTTCTGCTGAGAATGGAAACCCTGTTATAAGAGGGAGATGGATGGCCCTGTGGAACCAGCAACAAGTGGACAATGCCCTCCCCGGTAATCTTTAAGAAGCAAAAGTTTAAGCCCAGTTCATGTGACTTGGCCTTGACCTAGGAACCAGTAGGGCATGCTTGAATTCCTGGTCGGGGCACCTGCTTGGGCTGCGGGCTCCATCCCCGGTAGGGGGTGTGCAGGAGGCAGCAGATGGATGGTTCTTTCTCATCACTGATGTTTCTACTCTCACTCCCTATCCCTTCCTCTCTGAAATCCATCCTATCTAATAGAAGAGTAATATGCAGGTTGACCATCACTCCAACACACAAGATGGCCACCCCTACGTGGTCAAAAATGGCTGCCCCCATGTGGACACAAGATGGCCAGCAGGGGAGGGCAGTTGGGAGGGACCAGGTCTGCAGGGGAAGGCAGTGAGGCGTGACCAGGCCAGCAGAGGAGGGCAGTTAGGCATAAATCAAGCTGGCAGGGGAGTGGGTAGGAGGTGATCAGCCTGGCAGGCAGGTAAGTGGTTGGAATCCAGCAGTCCTGGATTGTGAGAGGGATGTCCGACTGCCCACTTAGGCCCGATCGCACCAAGATCGGACCTACATGGGCAGTTGAACATCCCTCGAGGTGTCCCAGTTGGAGAGGGTGCAGGCTGGGCTGAGGGACACACATCCCCGTGCACGCATCTCATGCACCAGGTCCTCTAATAAAAATATAATAAGAAAAAATAAGAAGCAGCCGCCAGAGTTTGGCACCAGTGACCTCCCGGCCCCCACCATCGCCCCGGCCCCTGGGGCCACACCTACCATCTCCTTGAAGGCGCTCTCCAGGGCCCCGATGACCAGGCACTCGTGGGGGATCTTCTTCTCGGTGAAGAAGCGCGTGGGCGGGGTGCCGGGGGAGCCGGGCGCGCCCACGCCCCCGCGGAGCGAGGCGGCGCGGGTGAGCGTGCGGCCCGCGGGCGCGCCGTCGGGCTCGTCGCCCAGGCAGGCGGGCGGCAGCACGGCCACGTTGCGCAGGATCTCCACCAGCTCCCGCAGCTGCTCCGCCACGTGCTGCTGCAGCAGGCGGGACGCCACCACCGCCGCGCCCGAGCCCGCGTGCCCGTCGAACAGCGACCAGTAGTGGCAGCACATGCCCTCCGACTCCTGCGGGAGGGACAGGACAGGGAGCGTGAGCACAGCGAGGCCCCTGTCCCGCCCCGGACACCCACACCCGCACCCACACCCCATGGCCGGGCCCACCGGCTCAGTGCATCTTCCTAGAGGGCTGGAGTCTGCACCCCTGGGGGCAAAGTGTGGCAGAGATGCCCAGGGAAGGACCCCCGGGTTGGTCACTGCTGGCTCCCCCACCCTGGGGAGGAAGCTCCCTGCCTCTCCAGCAGGCGGGAGGGGCCCCAACTGATCACAAGCCCATTTGGTCCCTGGAGCCGAGACTGTCTTAAGGTAAGGTGACAGATCGTCCCGCTTTTGGCGGGACAGTCCCGATTCCTAACAATTTTTCCCGCGTCCCACTGCGTTTTAAAAAAGTCCAGATTTTTGGAAAGAACCAAAACCAATCTTCCAAAAATCGAGACTTTCTTTTAAAACGCCGCGGGACGCGGGACAAATTGTTAGAAATCGGGACTGTCCCGCCAAAAGCGGCACATCTGTTTACCTTCGCTTAAGGTGATGTGCACATGTTTGGGGGGAAATCCCACACAGACAGATGCGTGTTTAGAAGCCCAGCTTGAACCTCCAATCGGTCCTTTTGGGCAGGTTCTTCAAGGGGAAATACAGGGACTCATTTCCCCTCTGTAGGCCTTTATATTCTGAGAACTGCCCCCTCCTCTTTGGTCTACATCCTGGATTTTTGGAACACAGTCTTCCCTTAGAGGCCCAGTCCAATCCAGGCTTCACAGTTCACTTCTGCCCTGCCTCCTTCCTCCCCAGCCTTCCAGCGGTCACTCAGCGTGTTCCCTTTTCTGGCCCCAATGCTGCTCGTACAGTCCTGAGCAGCCCGCAGCCCCACACCTTCCATGGATTGAGTACCTGTCAGGTGATTTCTAGACAATTTCAAAAGGAACGGTTTTAAAAAAGCATGTTTGAATCACACATGCCTAAGATCTTAGCTGGGGGTGGTGGTGGGGGTGGGGGAGAAGGGATGGGAGGAGCTCAATTAAGATCTATTAAATACTAAGATAACACAGGTATGGTGCATATGACATCCACTTCTGACTGCTGGGCTTATTATTCTGCAACAGTAAATACTAGGTTCTTTTTTAGCTGAAGCCATTAAATAAAACTTTGGGCCATCATATTTTTTTAATTGAAATATACTCAATATATTGACATACACTACTAGTGTATAAATGTAAGGTGTACAATATGTTGACTTAATGCATTTATATACTGTACTATGATTACCATTATATTATAGCAATAGTTAGCATGCCATGTAATTCTTTTGTGGGTGGTAAGAATAATTAAGTATCAGCTCTTGCAAGTGTAATTATTACAATACAATATCGCTTCTATATTCACTATATTATCTATTATAGCTCATTGCAAGTCTGTCCCCTTAAACAGCATCTCTCCTACCATTGTCGGTCTACCTTATGGGGACCTATGCCATCACTCTATCTGTAGCCTTTAAAACTTCTCAACTTGATTCTGTGCTAGGTGCTAAGAGATAAACTAGTGGGGTTTTGTTTGTTTTTTAGTCACAAGTATTTACTGAGCATTCTCTGTGTGACAAGCACAAAAAAGGAAGCAGTGGGGATAAAGGACTGGATAAAAGACATATCAGACATGGTCTAATACTAATCCAGCAGGAAAGAGAGTCACCGATCAAATAATCACACAGGTAAACATGAGACTGTAATTCTGGGGAGGGTCACAGGAGGGGTCCTCGGTGCTGTGAGGCCAGCCTGCAGAGGGCCTGGCGAGGCAGCTTCCTGTGACTTGAGGACCAGGCTGAGGGCTGCTTGGAAGGAAACAAGATGAAGAAAGGAGGGGAGAGGATGCCAGGCAGCAGCATGAGCGGTGCACAGGCCCTGTGGTAGAGGTGCCTAAAGAGCAAACGGAGCCCTAATCGGTTTGGCTCAGTGGATAGAGCGTCAGCCTGCAGACGGAAGGGTCCCAGGTTCGATTCCAGACAAGGGCAAGTACATTGGTTGTGGGGCACATCCCCAGTAGGGGTTGTACAGGAGGCAGCTGATCGATGTTTCTCTCTCATCCATGTTTCTGACTTTCTATCCCTCTCCCTTCCTCTCTGTAAAAAATCAATTAGACATAAAAGAGAGAGAGAGAGAGAGAGAGAGAGAGAGAGAGAGAGAGAGAGAGAGAGAGAGAGAGAGAGAGAGAGAGAGAGAGAGAGAGAGAGGAAGCAGAGACTGAACTATGGCCACGTGGCTGAACAAGGCAGCGAGGCAGGAAAGGAGGGGTTGAGGTCAGACTTGAGAGGGAGGGAGCAGCTAGACCCCTCAGTCCTGCCAGGACACATGAAGGTTTTGCCTTTAGCCTAAAAGTAACAACAGTCATTGTTGAGATGGGAATGGCAAAGCTGATTTATGCTTTTTTTTTTTTAATTTTTTTTTAAAGTATTTTTAAAAAATATATTTTATTGATTTTTTACAGAAAGGAAGAGAGAGGGATAGAGAGTTAGAAACATCGATGAGAGAGAATCATCGATCAGCTGCCTCTTGCACATCCCCTACTGGGGATATGCCTACAACCAAGGTACATGCCCTTGACCAGAATCGAACCTGGGACCTTTCAGTCCGCAGGCTGACTTTCTATCCACCGAGTCATTATGTTTTTAAAAGATCACTCAAATGATGCCAGGAGAGGAGAGTGAAAGTAGGGATGCGCTCCTAAAAAGACAGTTAACCTAATCCAGGCAGTGAGAAACACATAGGAACAACTAAAGTAACATAAAGCAGAGGAATCAGTCCTGTCACTCAGGGAAACATTAAGCGGAAAGAGCAATGACGTCAGGATTAGGAAAACGGCTCTAAGGGCATCCCTGACACCAACTCCCTCTGTGGGAGGCAGAGCAGGCACTAGCCCAGCAGCTCCCTCTAAGGCTAGCCGTCCCTGTGGTTTACCATCTCTGTGCTGTTTTCCTGTGAGTAAATGCAGGTGATAGCTGTCTTATGGGCGGGGATGGGGGTGGGGTGTGGGAGGGGGTAAGAGGTATCTGGGAGGGTTAAATGGTAAATTATGTTAAGTGACCAATTAAGCAACACAGCATACACTCTGTGTGTGTGGCTGCTGTCATTACATTACAGTAGGATCATGGGTGAGTCATTTTGTGGGTTTTTGAGTTCTTCAGCAAAGGGAGGGGTTACCCTAGAACTGTGGTCGGCAAACTGCGGCTCTTTGGCCCCCTGAGTGTGGCTCTTCCGCAAAATACCACGGCCTGGGCGAGTCTATTTTGAAGGAGTGGTGTTAGAAGAAGTTTAAAAAATTTTGCTCTCAAAAGAAATTTTAATCGTTGTACTGTTGATATTTGGCTCTGTTGACTAATGTGTTTGCCGACCACTGATCTAGAAATTCTGCCGCTTCTACTAACTCTGAAAGTCCTGCATTTAAGAAGCATAGATCAGTGAGGGCTGCGGGTGTGGAGGAAGAAGTCGGGCCTTGAAGCCCAGATAAGTGGACTTTGTATGACATGGGGGCCCAGGAGAGGCAAGACCTGGGGGGCTTAGGAGCTGTGGCCCACTCTGGCAGATGCTTCCCTGGAATCCACTCCCCCTTCTGTCACATCACTGATTCTGTTCGGGGCAGCATGTAGCCACTAAAATACTTCCCCAGACTCCCTTGCAGCTGTGTGGTCACGTGACCCTGTGCACTCCAGGGAACTGCCAAGGGAAGTAGTCTCCTGGGTACAACTTCCGGAAAAGCTACTGTTTTCTGGTTAAAAAGGACAACTCAACGGGTACGGGGTTTTGCCTTTTACCCTTCCCCCTTTCTTCCTGCCTGGGTCATAGAAGTAACACCTGAAGGTGGAGTAACCTGCCTGCAAAAAGGGCAAAAAGCTTCAGCTCTGTGGCGGGGCAGGAGGCAGGAGCCTGGCAGGGGATGCCTGGCGCGGGAGGCCACACTGCCCTGGACAGCCCGCCTCGAGGTCCTGCCACGAGGGCTTCAGGACATGTCGACAGGCCTCGTTAGGTCCTGTAGTGAGAGCTGGGGCGTGGAGAAGAGCGGACGCGCATGATTACATAGCATCCTGGGAGCTGTGGCATGAGGGGTGGAGGGAAGCATGCAACATGAGTAAGGCACAAGCACAGCAAGAATGAGAAGTAATCCAACAGGAAGGATAGAACAGAACTCCGGGCTTCCTTGGATGAAATTCAGAGTCCGTGAATCTCTGTTTTGAAGAACTTCTGAAACTTGGCATTTCCTCCTATTATGCCTGCAAGGCAGTCCCTATGACTCGGTTGCCCACAGAAATAAGGCATGGTCATTCCACATGTCCTGTCATTCCACATGTCTTGACGGACTGTTGATGCTCACCGCTACCTGCAATGGTGGCAGCAGCTAGTACAGCCACCTCTGGCTCTGGTCATTTGCCGCATTAGTAAAGTACGTGCTGCCACGTTACATCTTCATGACCCGGGAAAAGTGGCAAAAGGAAGGGAAATCTTGCTCAAAGCATCTAATTCCCCAGACTCAGAGTTAACCCGCACACAGTCCTCCGAAGCCCGGTTTCAGGGAAAACCCAGCGACCCTGTGTGCCGTGTCTGAGGAGGCCGCAGTGGGCGTGGGACGGAGAGGCAGCTGTCTCCGGGTCCAGGTGCAGTTACTCCACCGTCATCATGTTCCTGAAGCCTTGATTTAAAGCAGACCAAACCCCATGCAAAAACAGGCTACACTGCTATGGAACGCGACTGCACTTTGCAAAAGCAGCTCTGGAATTCTCCTGACAAGCATTCCAAGCATTTCCTTCAACAGGGCCGAGCGCTTTGCAGTAACCACAGCAACCAGGTGACAGCACGTCTGGGGGCTTTCCGCGCAGACAACAGGACACCTGGTTGAGGGACTTCTGAGGGGGTCCAGGGGGTCAACACTGTCCCTGTGAGAACTCCTCCACAGCAGTGCTATCCTAGTACACTCTGGTGCAGCCCATTTTTAAAATGCAATTAATAATCTGCACAGCTAAAACT